AAACTCAAGAATGTATTTTCACATAGAAATATTCATATAATTTAAGTTTTTCAGTTTGTTTCTAAATATATAGGGTTCTGCTATTGTTTTGTCATTGACACATACATGACCTTTAGTCATTTAATGGTCAATCTAAGCCTCCAGCTAGCATGTGTCATACGAGGAGGCAAGGCTACATCAGGTGTTTCAAAAACAGTATTTAAAATTTTTTAGCAGGGTCAGTGAGATGGCGTATTGGGTAAAGGGTGCTTACTGCCAAGCCCGATGACCTGAGTTTGATTCCCCGGACCCACATGGTAGAACTTAATCCCATAAGTTGTACTCTGACTTTCATTGGAGTTTGGTGGCACATGTGCACCCTAACATGCACACACACACACACACACACACACACACACACACAGAGACAAAGAAATGTACAAGAAAAAATAAAACTATAAAAGAGATTTTAGCAGCATAGTCACTTTTACAAGAAAATAATTCAGAACCCCAATATGTAAAGGAAGATAGTGAAATTGCTCTTTCTGAAGTGTGTGTGTGTGTGTGTGTGTGTGTGTGTGTGTGTGTGTGCACTGCATGCACACAGACATTACTGCATGATCAAGAGCCTGATTTCAAGCTCCCCAGTCTTTCCTCCCTTCTACCAACCAGACGTGGAGATTCTGAGATACACATTAAGTAGTGTTCAAGTTTTCTTTCAACTCTGTAAATAGCTACAAAACTCAAGGCATCATCATTTTTTTCCCTCCTTCCAATTATTTAACGGAGTTCTCAAACAAAATTTCCATGTTGTGTTTTATACAGGGGCCAGTTGGTCAAAATTGAAACCTTCAGTCTACTATTTATCAGTATTTCCAGGCAACTCCTGAATATTCTGAACAGCTTCCCTTATATATTTGAGTTTTTATATGTTTGATAACATGCCTTAATAAACTTTAAAAATACTCATAAATTTAGATCCCAATAATCATAAGGATGCATTACTAAAAATAACACCAGTTTGAATATCTGATAGTAGAGAATTAGTGTTTTGTGTGAAAATATGGTTTGTGATTATCAAGGAGAATGCCCTCTTCTGAGAGCCAAGGTGCGGCCACAGTGCCTGAGGGGCTGGGTCGCCTACACCAGGATGCGTTGCCGAGGACTCTGCACTGCTCAGAGAGATGGCAGACAAGAGGAAAGATGTTGCTGTCCACTGGACAGTTCAGGGAAGCAGTGATGGCAGAGAGGGTACGAGGCATGAATCAGTTGGTTGGTGTACATTGAATGTTATACGTTTAAAAAGGAAAACCATTTAATGGAGAAAATTGTAACAATATTTGAGATGTTTCAATTCTTATAAAACTAAGAGCTTATATCGCATTCTCTAATATGAAAAGCACTGCTTTGGAAACATTTAAAATTCTACCTATCTCATAAGCTTATTACTAAGTGTCTCTGTGCAGTTTCAAAGCTCCATTTGTCTTGGCACTTCCTTCTGAGCACTTACTAGTAGAAGAGATGGTACCAATGCGGAGTCTTCGCAGACACATTCTGTGACCTTTCTGTAGTGGCCACTTCTCTAACAAGACAGCAGGAAAGTCTTGCTTAACGTACTTCATCAAATAGATTTCATGATTTTGCTCATGTTTACCAAATACATGCTTTGAAAGATATGTCCTCCTTCAGCCTTTGGAACTTCCTGTTAACTCTCAACTTCAAAGGAACAGAACACGTCATGTGTTTAGCAGGTAGCACAACTGTTTGTTCTTTATGGTTGACGCAATTCCTTAGGACAACTTATTAGTATTCTAATTTTTGCTTCACTTATTGCAACAATTATTTTTCAGTTAGTGTATGAGGGAGCAGGCAGCAAGGGGTGGGCATTTATATCTTGAATGTCTTTTGACTTCAACTTGGGAGAATTCTTGGCAGTGAACCGCACATACACTCTGGAATAGCCCTGAGCTTTGCGAGCACAGTTTCCAGGATATGATTCAACTCGCCTCATACGAAGGGAAGAATTTTGTAATTCAGCCAAGCTGTGGCTTTCAGTGAAACTACAGTGAGCATTCGTGTCTAATTTGTGGCTAGAATGTGCTGAGGCCCATGATCTTTGCTTGGCTTTGTATGCGTTCTGTCCAGCACTGAGAACCTCAGCTTCTCCTAAGCTATGGAAAGTGTTAGCAGTTGCCTTTGTAAAAACATCAGAAGATATCCTATACAGACGCTATATGAGGAAGGATATGTGTATTTCCCCTCTGATTTCTTTCTGTGGAGTTTCAGCACCATCTTTCACCAAATATAGAACAAGTGAGACTAAGTCTTGATGTTCTTATAACTTTTTTGCAAAAGCCTATCACCAACGTACAAAAATAATCTAATATTTGGGACAGAGCTGATTCTAATCTGGCTTAGCTTTGTGCTCCTAGGATGCTTTGATTAAAAAAGTTGTAGAAGAATTCAATGAGTTTAAAATCAATATAGTATTTAAGACATAAAATAGCTTGTTTTTATTATTTGTTATAAGATTAAAAGAAAGTTGATCACTCTGTCCAAGCTAAAATAAATGGATATCTAAACAGCATTTTATTTCAAAGTGGGACTACAGGAGCAGGGACTAGCCTTCCATCAAAGAAATGAAAATTAGACAATGCCACAACTTTTTTGGTTTTTAATATGATTTGCCCTCGATTTTCTTATTGTGTTGTTGATAAGAAAGTACTTCAAACTGCAGAACTTTTTAATTCCTGAGGTTAGTGGAATTTTAGCAACAGGGCTGTCTTCCATTGTTTAGTTGTTTGGCTGGGGACTAGATCTGGAGCTTGGGTGTGCAGAGCACATGCTCTATCCCTGAGAGACAGAAAATGGGACCTTTATCCATTTAGACATCGGAAGCAAGCAAAGTTCTGAGCTCACTTGTAGAAAGAATCTCATAAACCAAGTGCTTTTCATTTGTGTAAACATTTTTCTCAAATATAATTGTATTTGTGTGCCATGGTCACGTGAAAAGATTTTACTTGATATATATATATTTGTCTTTTTGAGACAGGGTCTCCTTGTAGCCCCAGCTGTCCTGGAACTCATTATGTAGACCAGACTGGCCTCAAACTCACAAAGATCCACCTGCCTCTGGCCCCCAAGTGCTGGGATTAAAGGCGTGTGCCACCACTCCTGGCCCTTGATATATTTTTTTATAGTTACTGTCACATGAGTTTCTAAAGATGTCATAGGACATACAACAATCTGCGTTATGAATGAGGGTATTTTTTTCATTTACTCTAGTATTTTTTAATTTTCAGAATTTTATGTTATGTACATTAAACATTTTTAAGTACAATTTTAAATAATAAAATTGCATTTCTTTATCTTTTCCTGGATGAATTCTATGTAGTATGGCATGACAGGTAGATGAGCTGCAAAGTCTGGCACAGACCCCAAGAGAACATCCTCTCTTCTGACAACAACTGCAAAGTTCAGGAAGTGGCCCAAATCATGCTTTACCTTGAAGAGAAGATTCTCACAGAAGTCACCGACACTGTTTTAGCCATGGTTACAGTTTCTCACAGGCAAAGGGTACAGGTTAAAATCGGTCAAGAGAGCTCCATGGGGCAAGTGGAGGCGCAGTGTCTAGCACAGAGCCTGTCTTGGCTTCTCACCATGTGATCAAAACACGTTATCATCTTCATTGTGTGTCAGTACACACAAGGCGTTGCCTAGGAACCTGTGTCCAGTGTTTACATTAGGGCTTTATCACCTAGGCATGACTGATGAGCTGTTTGCCCACATGGTTAGTCAGTTTCAAGGTTCACTCTTACCACCTTCCTCAGGGCCCCTCCTCTAAGACTCTAAGATGTAGCTGGTTCCCAGCCTAAATCACACTGTGCAATCATCTGGTATCAGCCACCCAGATGCCATGGCAGCTTACTTCTCTAAGATGATACAAGTGCTACTGTGCTGCATGCTAAGCAACATGATTAGACCAGGCACTATGACTCAACAGCCAAGTCAAAGGAAGATGTTAGCAGTTACCTTCTAGCTGCTGAGCGCAAAGGCCAAACCTGCCTTTGGTCACAAATTCATTATTCGAATGGGTTGAAATACTCAGAGATTTCCATTTTATGCTAAATATACTTTTTTTCCACAAATGAACACTTTTTTTCCCTGAAAGTTTTGCATATTCTCAAGAAACTACTATATAAATAATTCAAAATATATACATGTGCAGTTGGTATGAAGGACATAGATGACAATAGTTGCTTTCAATTTAGCTTTTTTTATCTTATAATATCCTTATCTGATCTAAAATGATCACCCCTATCCTGTGAAATTTATAAAAAGAATATGTTTAATAAAAATACTATTAAATACTAATAAAGATACTATTAAGTAATATGCATTGATAAATTTATTAAATATTTGTCGACTTCCTGTATGGCAGTTATTAAGTATATTGCAATGAAGTAGTGTTTCTTTAACCACAATTGTGGTGTGTGCTATGATCATTCTTCTGTATACTGGGTCTTTAACAAGACACAGACCTTCGTGTAGCTTGTATTTTGTTGACAAGATCCACTTAAATAGAATGCTCTCTTTCGATGGTTCTGCAAACTTTCAGTATCTTTGTAAGGTGAATGCTGGCACATCTTGAACTTGGTCAATTTATTCAGCTTTGAGAAACCAACTGTCTCAACCATAAAGCATTTATTTGCTCACATTGAGAGTAAACATTGCCATCCTTAGGCACTGACATTTTTCTTTAAACGGTAACAATAAGTTAGTTCATCCCTTGGTTTTCTCTTAGTGTTGTTCTCTGAGAGATGCTAGAGTTCCAGAGGCCTGAAGTTTAGTGTCTTTATTTTCCGGTTTGGAGCTGAAGCCCAGTGTGGAAACCGAGCAAGGGCATGTGGTTGGCTGTCGAACACAGGTGGTTTTTAATAGAGAGCACTGTACTTGTGTTTCCTAAATCTTTATGGTCACTGAAAATGCACAGATTGAAGAACTGCTGTTTTTGCCCACAGCTGGATGCCAACGGGGAGCTACTCATCCGAAACGCCCAGCTTAAACACGCGGGGAGGTACACGTGCACCGCGCAGACCATCGTGGACAACTCCTCAGCGTCTGCGGACCTTGTTGTGCGAGGTAAGAGCTGCCAGCATCTCAAATTTAAAAACCAAAGGTATTTGACTTGCGCAAATTTGAGCAATCTTTGGTAACTCTAGAATTTCAAATTCTCGTATATTTACAACCTCAGTTCCATGACGTAGATGTATTTTTGGTTTCGTACCCACGGCTAGGGATAACTTATGCCAGACAAGTAGTAAACAGCATTGATTCTGTTTGTGTCGCTAACTACATATCTTCTAGAAAGTTAAACCACAAGCCTCCTACTGACTGTGCTTTAAGCTAAGTACTCAGGGCTGCAGAGATGGCTCAGTGGTTAAGAGCACTTGTTGCTCTTGCAGAGGACCCTGGCTCAGTTCCAGGACCCACATGGCACCTCACAACAGTCTATACTTCCAGTTCCAAGGAATTCAACACCCTCTTCTGGCCTCTGCAGGCATCACACATGCAAGTGGTGCACATACATACATTCAGGCAAACAATCATAGGCATAAAGTAAAAATAAATAAATTTTATAATCAGGTCTCACTGAGCTTCTTATTTCCCACTGAGGCTTCTTGGTGCGTGCAGTATAAAGCAACTACTTTATAATTTTATTTTAATTGGAAAATTTTACAGGAGTTATTTTAACTTCAAATGCCATATACTTGTCGGCATGAATAAAAATTGATGCATTTTCACGGTACTATTTATTGCTTATTTTCAAACAATGTTCTTGCTCCTATAGGTGATATGAAAATGGAATGGCATACATGTGTATGTATGTACATTGCAGGCTCTTTGCTCCTGGCCTCTGCTCTAGCGAAAGCTGGCTAGGAATGTGTTGACAGTCATTCACTGACTAACTAGGAGTGCAAGGAAGAAGGTCCTCTTAGCCTAGCCCCAAAGACGCTGCATGCATTGAGTGAGGACTGTTTACTTACGTGTTCCAAACGTCCAAGTAACTCACAGAACACCCTAGTATTTGTGCATCCAATCCTTGATTCACAGTTTTACTGTAGTGTTCTTTCCATATTATTGGTCGCCCAAATCTTCCCATGCTTCAAAGCATGCTGGAATGTTAAGAGTATTAGGACTTCTCAGATGGTCCAGCTGTGAGAGCGTCTCAGAACCTTCAGAATGTCCATGGTTTCACATGAATCTGCATATGATTGTCCTGTCTACTGTAAAATTCATACCTACATTGTGATTAAGTTACATTAGCCTTTGAAAAATTTTAAGACTCTAATTTTTCTCGCTAAATACCCTATAATTTTTAAATACTTGCACATTTTTGTTAGTTTTTAAAAATCAGACAAAGACTTAGCATATCAAATATATGGAGCTTATTTGTCTGAATTCCCTTATGCATCCAGAGTAATGTGATTCCCTTAATCTCACCCCCTCTTGATTCCTCTCTAGAATCCAGAGCCCCTTAGCTACACAGAAATGATGAAAAGTATGCGGCATCCTAATAGGGTAGTAAGAACCCAGCTGAAAGTTCCTCATCCAGATGAACTCAGCTATTCATTCCAGAGACCATCTACTGTACATTAATAAATAAAGCCCCGTGGTTACAAAATCCCAAGTTAAAGAAACTTCATGTAGGCTCAGCATCTCCATTCAGAGTATTTTGTTGTTTGAGACATTGGCTGTTTTCAGGTGTTATCAGAAAAAGAAACAAGTTCACATTTCTCTAGTCAGAGCCATTAGCTGTTAAGCCATTCCTAGCAGTACCCCAAGTGAAGACTTAATTAAAATTGTTTACATATTAGAAGGGTAAGCTTCAATGTTGTAAACTGGTTTATATGACAGTACATGGACATCAGTGTCCTCTTGTTGTTGTGCCATGGTGAGCTCTTTCCATTAATACTGTAAAATAGTCTAGTAATACTGTAAAATAGAAGATTCCTTATAGACAGAGTACAAGAGTAGTAATTGTAGAATATACATGCTTAGTTATTAATAATCATACACAGTCTGTATTTTTATAGAGCCTATAATAAGTAGTATGTGTAATTTAAAAATGAAAACTTTCTTCTAAAGCAATTTTTAGTGGCGTGAAAAATGCTTTTGGCAACAGGTGAACTCAGTGGAAATATGGTAAAGCATTTTAAGTCCCTGCACAATATTAATTTCCCACAATAGAGAAGGCATTGGTTGTATATAATGAGAAAACTTGGGAACTCAAATAGAGTAAGCTAGGCAGACCTTGTGTACATCAAAGTGAATACAGTGTAGACCTTCTAACTTGTCTTATGTATTTGAATCAGAAGATATACAAATGAACAACTTTCCTTACTTTGTGTAATAATACTAATGTTCTTATTAATTTATTCATTTAATTATTACCTTGCATTTGGTTAAGAAAGTCATAAGCTGTGTCCACGGGCATGCACCAGTGGGGCCCGCAGGCTAAACTTAAATGTGAATGCCCATGTGTATGTGCATTTCCTGGAAGGAGACTGTACAATCCTCCTTTTTGGCCAGCAATTGCCAAAAGTTGTTACTTATTTTTTCCCATATAGATTAAGAGAAGAAAGATGTAATTACTCATTTAATGTAAAAGTAGTTAAAGCTAAAAAATTTTATGTAGTGAAAACAATACTGTAAATTTGGTGGTACAAGCCTTTAATCTCATCACTTAGAGGGCAAGGCAGGCTGATCTCTGAGTTCTAGGCCAGCCTGGGCTACACTGACAGTAAGTTGCACTTTAAGCATCAGTTTGTACTCAAGACTTTAGGAGTATATGCCTATTTCCCAAAACATAGTGAGGAGTTTACAGTAGCCCAACCTCACCTGAAAATTTTTCTGTGGTCTCAGCTAGCCAAGATCAACCGTGTTCTGATATATTAAATGGATAGTTCTAGGGGGCTGGAGAGACACCTCAGAGGTTAAGAGCACTGACTGTTCTTGCAGAGGAACCAGGTTCGATTCCCAGCACCTACTTCTTGGGCATTGCATAACATGGGTGCACTTACACGCATGCAGGCAATACACTCATACACATGAAATAAAAATAATAGAATATTTAAAAAATAAGAGGATAGTACTAGAAATAAATAATTCATATATTTTTAAATAGTGTACTCTTCTGAGTAGCGTGATGAAATCTCTCCTTGCCCCACCCCATTCTGCCTGAGATGTGATTCATTTTTTTTTTTGGTCAGTATATCACAGTGTATATACTGCCCACCTGGCAGTCAATCAGAGCAATCATTGTGTTGAAATAACCTTATTTCACTCGTAATGCTCCCAAAGCACAAAGTTTTATACAGCACATTTTATAATGTTGTTAGCTATTAATCTCTGAGTGTGCCTGTATCAGCTACTTTTCTGTTGCTGTGATAAGGCAGCTAATAGAAGGAAGAGTTAATTTAGCTTATGGTTCCAAAGGGGTGAGAGTTCATCATAAGGAGAAGGCATGGCGGCACTGGCGGCACAGAAAGCTAAGCTCGCGTCTTCAAGCAGGCACAGGAAACAGAGTGTTGGGTTGAAGAACTCCAGCAACGGTTAAGAACCCTCAAAGCCCACCCCCAGCGACATGCTTCCTCCAGCAAGCCACACCTCCTGAAACCCCCCAAAACGGCACCACCAACTGGGGACAAAATATCCAAATACTTGGAGTCTATGGGGTACGCTCTCATTCAAACCACCACAGTGCCAAGTTCTTACATTAAACTTCATCATAAGTATGTGTTTCTATAATATAAATGTCGGGTTTAATTCTACCTGCAGTTTCAGGCATCCCCCATGGGTCTTAGAATGTATCTTCTGCTGATGTGTGTGTGGGGCGGGTTGGGGGGCAGTCCTCTGCCTCCACCTATGGGGGTTACTAGATACCTATAAGAGCTGGCCAGATTTAAGAAGGACTAATTCCAAAGACAAAAGCTTTTGATAATGCAACTAGCTTAGTATATAAGTTAATATGTTCTATCAATAAATTAAAATGAATGTGTAAATATTAAGACATAATTAAGAATATGAATTTCTTTGTGTGTGCATATATGTGTGTGCATTTTGTTTGTGGGTGTATGTATGTGTAATAGTGCACATATGTATGTATGTGTGTGTAATTCCAAAGACAAAAGCTTTTGATAATGCAACTAGCTTAGTATATAAGTTAATATGTGCTAGCAATAAATTAAAATGAATGTGTAAATATTAAGACATAATTAAGAATATGAATTTCTTTGTGTGTGCATATATGTGTGTGCATTTTGTTTGTGGGTGTATGTATGTGTAATAGTGCACATATGTATGTGTGTGTGTGTCAATTTGTGTGTGTGTGTGTGTATGTAAACCAAAGAACCCCCTGAGGTGCTGTTCTTTCTCAGGTACCATTCACCTTGTTCTCTGAAACAGGGTCTCCCACAGCCTGGGAACCATCAAACACACTAGACTAGCTGGCCAGCAAGTGTAAGGATCCACCTGCTGCTGCCTCCTCAGCACTGGGATTGTAAGTGTGCGTCTCTGCGCTCAGCTTTTTAGCACAGGTTCTGGAGATGGAACTTGGGTCTTCATGCCTGTGCAGCCAGCATGGTACAGAGTGAGCTATCTCTCCAGCCCAAGATTGTGGATTTTTAAATCTGTATACCTTGAAGGAAATGAATACATAGCAAAAAATGTTTATGTCCTCAACATTTTGTGTCTGTGTGTATGTATTTGTGTGCATATTTATGGTGAGAGAGACAGTGGGGTGTTGGTGAAGCTTGATGGATGTAATATGTATGAGAAAAATGTTTAGTTTGTCTTTTACTATTTTAATTAATTAGAGAATGGAGACAATTAGTTAAATCTGAGTGTCTTTGTATAAACAAATTTTCCATCGTTATAACAAAATATTACAAAATACTTGAACTGGGATAATGTATAGAGAAAGCAGGTTTGTGTAGCTCACAGTTTACAGGATCCAAGGGTGTGGCTCTGGCACTGGCTCAGTTCTCCTGAGCTCTTACAGCTCATGACATCCAGCAATGGGAATGCATGAGAGAGATCATATGACAATATACGTATAATATGTAACATGTGCAACTCAC